ATCCTTGAGCAGGTGGACGTGATGCAGCTTGGCAAGAGTGTCAATTTCTGCGTTGCTCCTTTTGACGGCGCTCCACTGTGCAGGATTGGCGATGATCGCTCGGTATTTGCTACGAAAGACCAAGCAAACCAGCTATCTCATGACCTATGCCGAGTCCTTCGACACAAGATCGGCAGCTGCCGAGGAAGTGCTTTCAGGTGCGACGAAGGTGGATGGGTCGACATTGATGCAGTCATTGACGACCGGAACAACGACATATTCCCACCAGGCACCTCGAGAGCGAAGCGATACATGGGCATCATGGAGGTGATCAAGTGGCAGGAATCCGGAAGCAGAAAATCGAGATTCCAGGTCCTGGCAGCAAGGTTTCCGAGCATCATGAACCCGAACGACACGAGGGCGGCCAGGGAGGAAATGACCAAAGCTGGCATGGATCGGGACGACATCGACAGGATGTTCAACAGATGCGATGGATGGTACAGACCTTGGTGCATCCGAGTCACAACTGGTCACAGTGATTTTGGATTCATGAGCTCATCCGCACTGGCAAATAGGTATTCCGCAAGGATGGGTGATTCTCTCGGAGGAGCATTCCATGTGACGTATGTGGAAAATCTGCCAAGCATCGTACGCTGTGGGTTAGTCCCCGGCGGAATCGATGGCGGTAACAGGCTAGCACTGCACTTCGGAGCGTTTGCTCCATGGGATGAGATGAACGTGGCAACGAAGGTGACGCTGCGGAACGTAAGGAAGGGGGATCCGATTGCGATCATCTACATTCCCAGTGCAACCCTCGCGCGGTATGGAGCTGGAGTCGCGGCAAATGGGACATTCATGGTCTTTGACGTGATCCCGTTCTATGAGGTCAAGTCCATTTGGATTGGCAAAAGCAACGGAGGGAAACGCCTGGAGTACGTTGATGTCAAGAGAGCGTACTCGAAGTGTGTGGAGAACGAGATCTGCCCTGGCTTCGTCAACTCATCCCAAGAGTCGGCTGCGATGTTCCTCCAGAACGTCACAAAGATCAGCGAGAGGATGCCCGAGACCGAGACAGGTGCCGATAATCTGCACTACATCAGGGACATGGTTGATCGTGCATGCGAACTCTATCGGAACAACAAGATGGAGGAGTTCAACGCGCAGGTCAACGAGGTCAGGGACGAAATCAGCAAAGTCGTCATCCTGAATGATGAGACATGGGAGGGACTGAGATGCCGGATATGTCCATCGTGTGCGACCGCGATCCCCACATGCTTCTGCTTATGCCTGGAATGTGAGGCGCAACTGATCTCCACCGGGAGGTACTACATCCACGTCAACTCCGACGATGAGGAGGACAATCAAAACCCCAACGTCTCGGGAGATGCCAAGCGCGCACAGGAAGAAGCTAACCACGATGCGGCGGCACAGGAGGATGATGACGAAGCGGAGGAAGTTCCGGGAGAAGAAGACGACATGGACACGCAAGGATATACATCCGGATATGCGTCAGAAGAGGATGACAGCGGTTGGTATTACCGCGACACTGATCTGACGTCACGGGATATCATAAATTCCCAGCGGATGGCGATCTGCCTTGACGAGACGCGTGAGGCTCAGTACATGGCAGGGTTTATCGCACTCCAGATGTCCAAGATGTGGGGGATGTTCGAGGGTGGTGAGGAGAGAACGATGAATGCCCAACTCGAGGGGAGACCGGGCTGCCCTTACCACAATGACTTCAAGAGATACCCCAACATGACTGAGCATGATCAGGAAGGTATACTTTTGCCATCAACAATAACGAAGATTTCTCAATCGGAGAATGTTCGGACAAGAGCCTTCCGATCGGTTGAGGAGCGTGACGAATATATTCGTATGATGGTGTGCAAATGCGAGGGACTATACACATTCTACAAGCTGTGGATTGCAGCAAGAATCCTCGATGTCACCAAGGAAGAAATGAAGCTCCTGGTCAAGGACCGAGTGCACCCGGTGGGTGATATTATTTTCAGATGCTTTGCACTGGCTTTCAACTGTAAGTATATATCATTCGTGAGGGATGGCCTGAACCTTGGCAAATATGGTTACGCGGTCAACGTGAGCGCCATCATCTCGGCCGTCGACCCGAACAAGTGTGACACACCTCTGCTGGATTGGTGCCTTCGGAAAGGGCGCTGGCTACCAGAGGATTACAGCAAGAAGTGTGTCCGGGCACGAGAAGCCCAGAAGAACTTGGACGAGGAGTTCCGTCGACGCACTCACAGACTGTCCATTGGGGACGGTATGCGTAGTGAAGATGCTGATTGCGGCACGATGTGGGTTAGTCCCCATCTGTTGCTTGCGTCTCATCAACACCATTGCGATGGAACGACTTTACATTATGATATGATTTCATGTATCCAAGTTGAATGGATGTGTACATGGTTACATATTCCGACGACTATGACATTCTGGATATTCGTGGATGGAACTATTACCTCATGGATGATTTCCTTTTCATTATTTATGCATTGTCCAT